ACGTGTGCTCTTCCGATCTCCCCAAAACCCCAAAACCCCTTGTGTTCTACATACTTTTCTAAATGAAATTAAGGATTATCTTTTTTAAATTAATTAATACGTCAAATCATTACACATTTTATTAAATAGAATAAAATGAGCCAATTAGATTATCCAAATCTCAAAGCTGTTCTCAGTATATCTGGATGTTTTTTCCTTTAATTTATTGCGGCAAATTCTACAATGAATGTTGTATCAACTACTTTAAAAGATTGCGGTTTTGACAATTTAGGATTTTACAGTTTGGCCGTTATTTATATGGTATTTGGACTAAGCTCATTAATAGCTCCACCAATCATTAAAAGGCTAAAGCCTAACTTATCAATGGTACTGGGATCATTATGCTACGATATATGGTTGATATCTCTTTCATTACCAGCAATATTATTAAAAAGTAAGGATTTGAAAGAAGTTTTGACATACAATCAAGTGATCCTTATTGTCATAATTGCCAGTGCTATAATGGGCTTCGGTGCAACACTAATTTGGATAGGATAAGGAAAGTATTTATCAGATTGTTCAAAGCAAAAAATTGAGAGAAAAGGAATCTATTCTAGTATCTTCTTGAGCTTCATGTTTTTAGCTTCCATTCTGTCCAGCTTCTTGAGTGCTTTAATTTTAGGCTCATATTCTCAGGAATATCTTTACTTAGTATGTACTTTTATTTCACTCCTTTCTACTATTCTGTTGATATTCCTCCCTAAAATTGATATTGAAGAGGAAGAATGTTAAGTTTTAAGAGAAGGATAATCTTAAAATAAGATGCATCATGATGAGATAGGCTTAATGAAGCTAATTGCTAGTAAATAAATGATCTTAACCTACGGTATATCATTGACTACTGCTCTTTCTCACGCATTTAGGACAGCAGGATTATTCAATTTTCTCACACTAACATAGAGTGATGAAACTATTTAGAATCAATTTAAATAGGCCTCGTATGCATAAGCCTTATTTGGAGTGGGTTAATTTATTGGAAGTGTTAGCTTTGGCTATTTAAGTGAAAAGCTTAAAAGCAATTTTAAAATGACATAAGTCGCGCTCCTAGTACATGTCTTTTCATACTCTTCAATGATATGGTGCAATGAAATCTATAAATTTGGAATTCTGAGCTTTTGCACCTGCTTTATTCTAGGTATCTAAGATTCATTCCTTTAGAATCAAATGCAAGTGATAATGGGAGCAGAATTCACCTAAAGTATAGAAGCTTTTGCTATCTACAGACTATTTAACTCAGTCTCTGTTACATTCATCCTCATTATTATCTCAAATTTGACAAATTTGGAAGGATTCAGAATATTTATAGCAGGATGCTTGGTGTTCTCAATTTTTTCTTAAGCTATCATGATTAAGCTATTTAAGTTTAAGTACTAGCAAGGAGATGTGGAACATGAAAATAAGAAACAGACTATTGAATCACTGATTTAAAAGAAATGAGGTTAAGTTAAATAAAATTTAATACAATATTACCCACCAATACATTTCGTTAATTTTACTTCGATGGGGTTTTGGGGTTTTGGGGTTTTGGGG